GGATTGTTGGCATTTCCTTGTTGACCTGTATTCCTGGCTGGTGGGCCACGCTGTCTCAGGGCTGTGCCAACCATTCGGCCTCTTGAGAAGGACAGCTTCCTTGCCTGCATTTTCCTGGGAGCCACTGGGCAAGCAGCCAGAAAGAAGGGATGGGAGGGAGCAGTGGGACACTGACAGGACCCTCACACCAGTGGGTGATGAGGGGCAACCTTATGCCGGCCTGGGATAGCCTTGGACTGAAGCCCCAGCGGGGAGTTTGTGGGGCTGAGGGCAGTGGTGCTCAGACCTCTGACCTTTGGAACGGGAAGCGGGCCCCAGTTGCAGAGGGAGCTGGAGGTGGAACAGCTGCCTGAGCAGAAGGAATTGGACAGGGCAGCTAGTTTGTAGTCAGGGGGGTAGGCTGACTCTTGGCGTGAGAGTGGCAGTTCCCGGTGGTTTTCCCAAGCTGAACAAACTCCAGATGAAGTGGCTTCTTAGAGCACAGTGTGGGATTGGTGTAGGATCTCTTCCTACGCGTGCCCCATCTCTGATTTGCACTCAAGACGTTGGGAAGTGGATTCAAGGTAAAGAGTTCACGGCTTTGTGACCTTCTAACCTGGGGGCAGGAGCCTTTAGCCAGAATTCGGGAGTCCTGTGTTAACCCTTCTCTCCTATTGTTTGTCTAGGGAGAAGGGTTTGTGTGAAAATGGAGTAAAGGATGCATTCCCCAAACTGCCCTAGGCAGACTATTCTAATGAGGCCCCTCCCCCACCCAGCCAATTTGTCTTTCCCTTCTTCCCTTCCCTCTTGCCTCCTGCTGCTCCCCACCCCCTTCTTTCCCCTCCCCAGATAGAGGCCCCTTCCTCCTCCGCCAGCCCAAACCATGCTGGGTGCGTGTTCTGCACCTAGTGGGTTGAGGATGCTTAACAGCTATCAGCAGCAGCATCTGACAAGCTGGGGGAAGTTGTGGGGGTAGAGTAATTTTCAGGAACTGCTGTGGAGAGGTTGAGAAGAGAGACAAAGGGGCTGTGGGGGAGTAAGGAGGGCTGTGTCAGGCACCACTCCTAGACCTAGGGAGCCTGCAGAGGAGCCCGACACCCACCCGCTGCTACTTGCTGTGGAAGGCAAATCAGGGCCTTCCTTAGAAGGCCCCCTCCCTTCCTCCCTTCTGCCACCTGCACACCCTGTGCTGACTGAAGGGTCCCATGACCCCTGGGAACGGGGTCTTTGGGTCACCCATGGCAGCACCCTGGTCTTATCTAGATCAGCAATCCATGCCTGAGGCTTCAGGAGACATGGTGGAAGGAAGGAAGCAGACAGCCAGGCGTGTTGATTTGAGAGTAATGACTGGTGCTTGGGGAGGTAGCCACTACAGCTGATGAGCCTAGGAGAAGGGACGCCTTGGAGGCGCAGAAAACACCCTCCCTTGTAGGGTTGAGTCCATGCCTTGGTACACCTTCTGGTAGAGGAGGAGGTGATGGATAATTGACAGTAGGAAAGAGAAGGCAAAGTCCTGGCAAGTGAGAGTGGAAATAGGGCCGGGAGAACAATTGCTCTGCAGTTTTCCACCCCCAGGATCCACAGGCGCACTTTCCCAGCTGTTTGTGGGCTGGGGGTAAAGGATGCATTATCCCATTTTACAAGTTGTTGAGTTGGAGAAAGAACCAGGACTTCCATGCTTAGTGTTAGAGGAATCACCACAAGAAACAGCTTTGGACTGTGGCCGGGAGACAAAGACTTGAAGATTGGAGGAAATAAACAAAATGACTCTACAAGACATTATCAAAAACCAAAACTCACTAACATGGAGTTGGATCCGACTCATAGCGACTCCTCCTTAGGTTTCCGAGGCAATCCCCTGTCACTACAGAAGGGAGCTCTGGTAGCGTAGTGCCTAAGGTACTTGACTACTAACCAGAAGGCTGACAGTTCAAACCCACCAGTCACTCCTCGGAAGGAAGATGGGGCAATCTACTTCCGTACTGATACTGCCTCAGAAACCCAAGGAGGGGTTGCTATGAGTTGGGTCCGACTCAGCGATACATAACTACAACAAAAACAATCACTATGAAAGTAGATTGTCCAACCAACCTTCCAAGGAGTGGCTGGTGGGTTTGAACCACCAGCCTTCTGGTTAGTAGTCAAGTGCCTTAGGCACTATGCCGCATGACTTTATATTCATTAGATAATAAAATAACCAAAACTGTTGTTGAGTTGGTTCCAACTTACAGACCGTGTAGGACAGAATAGAACTGCCCCATAGTATTTCCAAGGTTGTAAATCTTTAGGGAGGGAGCTCTGGTAGCATAGTGGCTAAGGCACTTGACTGCTAACCAGAAGGCTGGCGGTTCAAACCCACCAGCCACTCCTCGAAAGGAAGGTTGGGCAATCCTACTTTCCCAAGGAGGGGTCGCTATGAGTCAGGGCTGACTCACGGCACATAACAACAACAAATCTTTAGGGAAGCACACGGCTTCACCTTTCTTCCATGGAACTGCTGGTGAATTTGAACCTCCCACCTTTTGGTTAGCAGTTGAGCATTTAACTACTGTGCCACCAGCAAACCAAAAGCCAAACTCACTGCCATCGAGAAGTAGTGATACTACCTCAGAAACCCAAGGAGGGGTCACTATGAGTCAGATCTGGCTCGATGGCAGTGAGTTTGGTATTTTTGTTTATCACTATGGAAGTAGATTGTGCAGTCTTCCTTCTGAGGAGTGGCTCGTGGGTTTGAACTGCCTGCCTTCTGGTTAGCAGTCCTGGAAATTATAATAAAGGTTCTTAATTTGAGACCTTTGGATCTGGGGGACCATTGACAGGCTTTGCAAGAGTCCTTGGTATTCTTGATAGAGCAGATTCTTAAATAGATTAGAAAAAGTTACGAGAAATCCTTTAGTTCAAGCATTTTTAGGGGTTGGAGAAACTCAGAAAAGACTGCTCTAAAGCTTGCTACTAACTTGCTGCTAGGCTAAGACAGGAATGTCAGTGCCCTGACCCCCGTTTAGAGCTTGCTCTTCTGCTCCAAGTTGCTTTCTTTTTTGAGAGTTCAGTTTTTTACTGAACGTGTTACTAAAGGAGTTTAGTCAAAAAGACCAAAGCCCTTGTCACCATTGGATACTTCAGATTCTTCTTTCTTTGTTTCCACTTTCTTCTCAGCTGGAGCAGTAGTGGTGGAGAGGGCAGGTGCACCAGCCACTACATTGGTGATGAGGCTCCCCATGTTGATGTTAGCCAGAACTTTTGCAAACAAGCCAGGTCAGAAGGGCTCAACGTTTATACTGGCTGTTTTAGTAAGGGCATTGATCTTATTCTCTGTGACTGTCACCTCCTTGTGCAGGATGAGGGCAGAGTAGATGCAGGCGAGCTTGAGCTTGCTCAGAAACAGAGACCAGGGCGCTGATGAGTGTTGGACTGGTGGCTGCCGGGCAGTGCTACTTACCACATGAGGTGAGGGCTTCACTCCAGTGTGGCCCGATATCCCTCAGAAGGTCCCAGCACCTTAGTGAAAGTTGAGGAAAGGCCCAAGTTGTGTTCTAATATTCTTTGTTAATTTTTTTTAATCTGTAGGAGGGGTTTTATATTCATGCCTAGATGCTCTTGGGGAATACTTTGTGTTGAAGATGAGAGTTTCTTTTTCTGAATCTGGCATGATGGGACAGGAGTGCAGAGCCTTGCAATTTGCAGGCCATGTGTTACAGATTGGAACTCTGGTGGTGCACTGTATAAGGCATTTGACTGCTAATCAAAAGGTTGGCAGTTCAAACCCTCCAGCTGCTCTGTAGAAGGAAGATGGGGCAGTCTACTTCCATAAAGATTTACTGCCCCAGAAACCCAATGGGGGAAATAACTGATGGCAGCGAGTTTGGTTTTTTGGTGTGGTGTTACAGATTCAGTAACTGAAGTGAGATTAGGTTGGATGGTTCTTGAAGCTAAATATCAAGGCTTTCATTCTTTGCAAGCTGATGGAGATCCTAGAACAGATTTTGAGAGGGATGTGTGTGCAGATCACAGCCTGAAAGGGGGGTGTGACATGGAGAAAGGATGGAGTTTGTCCAGTGGGAAAAATAACTAGGGTTTGGATGATTGTTGGTGGAATGGCAGAGGGGTTGTTGCTTTTGTTAGGTGCATCAAGTTGTTTCAACATGCAGCGACCCTGTGTGACACAGTAAAACTGTTCCATAGAGTTTTACTAGGCAATTATCTTTATGGGAGCAGATTTCCAGGTCTTTCCCCCAGGAGCCACTGGGTGAGTTTGAACCATCAACCTTTCAGTTAGCCGAGCACTTAACCGTTGTACCACCAGGACTCCTTTCAGAAATAATTGTGTATGGATCTAAAAGATGCATATATAGAGAGGCTGACAGAAAGTACATTGGATGTAATCCATGACATGATGTTTGAGCATCATCCAGAATGATGTCTGAGCACAGAAACAGGCAGGCTCTCGTGGAGCTTTCTAAAGCATTTGTGCAGATGGGGAAGGAGATGTGGTCTTTAAACCAGGGCTGTGAGTTTCATCATCAGTAGACATTACAAAACTGGAATTGTGGTCTGCAAGCCAAGACCCAAAGTAGAAGGAGTTGATTGCCTAGGAAAACTGTGGAGACAAAAGGATCCAATTTTTGATTGGGAAATCATATAGGAGAGGATGGAGCCAAGATCTATGTCTAAACAGAGGTGTACCATTAATATTTGAATAGAATTTCTATGTCAGAGGGTAGACAGCTCATGTGCTGATGAGGGGGAAGAAAGTTAGACCAGAGAGGGAGATTGCCTGATAGGCAGAAGAGAAGGCTAGAATTGAGCCCACTGATTTGAATTTATGTCTCAGCTTCAAATGTTGCTGTTTTCTGTGGGCAAGCCAGTTGGGTAGATGAGGGTAGAATTCCACTTTCTAGCCCTTTACTTTCTATCACTGTTTCCACAAACAGACTGAGAAGAGCATCCCCCTCCTCCCAATATCAGGTGCTCTTGCTCATTCCTGGAGAGGTTAGGGTAACTCTTGTTTCTTATTTCCCCAGGCCGAGAAGAAAGCCAAGGTAATCGCAGTAATGAATGCTGTGGAAGAAAACCAGGGTTCCGGGGAATCGCAGAAGGTGGAGGAGGCCAGCCCCCCTGCTATGCAACAGCCCACTGATCCTGCATCCCCTACTGTGGCCACCACGCCTGAGCCTGTGGGGGCTGATGCTGGGGACAAGAATGCCACCAAAGCAGCTGATGATGAACCGGAGTACGAGGTGAGTGGCTTGCTTCTTGGTACCCTGTGGGCCCTTCCACTGCCAACTCCTCTCTCCACCTCCCACTGGCTGCCCTCTGCCACAACCTTAGGCCACTTTGTCTCCTCGGTTTTACTGTGTCTTGGTCCATTCAGCTGGAGCTCCCTCTGGCTGTCCTGACCCTCAGATGCTCAGGGCTTGGGTTGCCATTGGCGGGGGTTGGGGGTGGGGAGGTGCAAGGGGGGTTGGTCAAAGAGGCAGGGCTTACTGACTACCATGTAATGATTCTGCTCCTTGGGGCTCCAGGACGGCCGGGGCTTTGGCATTGGCGAGCTCGTGTGGGGAAAACTGCGGGGCTTCTCCTGGTGGCCAGGCCGCATTGTGTCTTGGTGGATGACGGGCCGGAGCCGAGCAGCTGAAGGCACCCGCTGGGTCATGTGGTTTGGAGACGGCAAGTTCTCAGTGGTGAGTTAAGGGTTTTGGTGGTTGCCTGGGAGTGGTAGAGATCTTAATCCCAGGGCCCATCTTTTTAGCTAGGGGCATGGTCTGGAATTAGGGTGGTGGAAGTGGGCTCTGCTCACTTATCAGAAGAGATGAGGACCCTGTGAATGGGAGAAGTCTTAGTGATAATTAAGTCACACCATAGATTAGAAAGCTAGATTGCTGAGTTTTTGCCTTCTAGAAACCCATTGCCCAGAATTCCTCCCACTTCCATTCCAGTGCTCCTCCACAGTTTGTATGGACTCCTGTTTTGCATCATGTAATTATTTATTGATGCATCTGGTTCCCTTAAGGGCAGAGACTAAAAGTCTTAATGCTCCCAACCCTAATAATTGCCAGGCATGAGGTGGGTGCGTGAAGAGTGTGGAAGGAGGAGCAAACGAGGGGCCTGGGTTGTCCCTCCAGGTGTGTGTTGAGAAGCTGATGCCGCTGAGCTCCTTTTGCAGTGCATTCCACCAGGCCACCTACAACAAGCAGCCCATGTACCGCAAAGCCATCTACGAAGTCCTGCAGGTGAGCGCCCTACCAGGAGCTTGGAGGAGCTTGCTTAGATGATAGTAACTACTACTAGGCAGCCTAGAAGCTGATGGCAGAGGTTAGGCCTCAGCAGAGGGTCTGCCTTTTCTCCCCACCTCACTCACCATTCCTACAAAGCCGCCTCAAACATTCCCTCCCAAGTCCCCATTGCCCTGCACTTTCCCCAACCTTTTGCCTGTGCCTACCTTTGCTACTCTCTGAGGCCAGCCTAGAGTCAGAATCATTTGCTGTCCAGCCTATCCTGACTCCCCATCCCTAACGTGTCACCCTGCAGGTGGCCAGCAGCCGGGCAGGGAAGCTGTTCCCAGCATGTCACGACAATGACGAGAGCGACACTGCCAAGGCTGTGGAGGTGCAGAACAAACAAATGATTGAATGGGCACTTGGGGGTTTCCAGCCCTCTGGCCCCAAAGGCCTGGAGCCACCAGAAGGTAAGAGTCCAGGGACCTAACCCAGCCTTTTGAGACCCCTGCCAGCCAGGCAGAGCCATGCGATGCCTGGGAAAGCCATGCTTGTGGAAAGCAGCCCATCGGCTGTAGGGGGAGCCAGTGAGAATGGCACAGTCTCCCTCCCCCTGGGCTCAAGATAGAGACAGTGCCACTCTGGGACCCCAGAACATTCCACTCCCCATTGGCTTTTGCTTGAACCAGAGAATTGGGAGCTGGGAACAGATTGGGACCAGGCTGTCCCCCGTTATAGGTCAAATAGAGGAGGAGGGGGCTAGGATTCCTTGTCAGCTCATGAGCTCGTCACCTGCTTTCCTGATGCAGAGGAGAAGAATCCCTACAAAGAAGTTTACACAGACATGTGGGTTGAACCTGAGGCTGCCTATGCACCACCTCCACCAGCCAAAAAGCCCCGAAAGAGCACAACTGAGAAGCCTAAGGTCAAGGAGATCATTGATGAACGCACAAGAGGTAGTTGGCCTGGCTCTGGAGAGAGTGGCACGGGGAGCCCAGCGTTCACAGGAGTGGGTGTGGCCATCACAGCCTCCTCTGATACTCGGCTTTCCTCCCCTCTACAGAGCGGCTGGTGTATGAGGTGCGGCAGAAGTGTCGGAATATTGAAGGTGAGTGAGTTGTGATGGGACAGTGGGGCATTGAGCCACCTGGGACTTCAGTGTCCTAGTGCTTCTAGTACAGGCAAAACTTGACTCCTAGTGTGCTGCCTGCCTTTGAGTAGGATAAGGTGTTTAAAAAGGTTTGAATAATATGGAACAAGGGACCCAGTTGACATTGTTAGTCAGTATCTGGGAGTCTGTCCTGCATGTGCCTCCACCTCCAGCCTGTTGCACGCACACACCCATCTTCCTGGTGCCGTATTCCTGCTTTCTTAACTCTCTGGTCTCAGCTGGTTGTTAGGGTTTAGGCACCACAGTGAGTCAGAGAATGTTGGCTCCCTCTTGGATTTGTTTGAACTTGTCTGAAGATGACCTTTTTGGCCTTCCACCTGTTTTTACCTTCTCTTATTCAGTGGCCATAAAAATGTTCCATGTTCGGTCTTCTTTGGCCTAGTGTCTTAGTCTTTCCCAGGGCCCTCTTGGAGCCAGGAGGGATTTGGGGCAAGGGAGTAAGACTTGAGGATCACCCCAAGAATGCCTCCAGAGTAACCCCAGAATCAAGGCCCTGCTCTAATAGGCAGGTTGCTGTCCCTCTTCCTAGTCATTGGCATTGCTACTATAAAAAATGAATGCGCTTTTGAGATTGGAGGCCATGGTGTCCCCTGCCCCATGCTCCCACCCCTCTCTGCCTCTTTTTTGGCTGCTTTTCAGCACCCCATTTTTTTGGTGCCTTTTCTGGAGCTGGGCTTTGGCCCGAGGGGTCCTTCTGTGATACTCAGTCCATGTACTTTGCTTTTCAGATATTTGCATCTCTTGTGGAAGCCTCAATGTCACTCTGGAACACCCTCTCTTCATTGGAGGAATGTGCCAAAATTGCAAGGTAGGGGCTCACCCAACCAAGCTATAGTTGAGGGCACCTGTCTGACTGTACTGCCTTGCTTCTGCGGGCTTGGTGGAGAGATGGCATCTGGTGTAGGTGTGATGTTGACTTGAAGTAGAGAGTGCTGGGATAAAATGGGGCCTTGGTCATCCAGGTTTTGACTTCCTGTTCTTTTTCCTTCTTTGAAGCATTCTTTCTTTCTCTAAAGCCCCAATCTAGCCCCAGATGTGGGCTGGAGGGCAGGGCTTACAATGTCAGTCACTAGCGAGGAGTGGGTGGGCAGAGCAGGTGGGGAAGACCGGCTGGTTGGCTAATGGCTTGCCATATTCTTGGAGCCCCAGGAGGGGCTGCAGCAAGGGACAAGGTGGGGGTGTGGCTCTCTCCCTGGCCTGCTTTCTGCCCCTCTCTGGTTCTGCCCACTGCAATGAGATCAGGAGATGTGATTTTCCCTTCCCAGATTGTGGTTTGAGCTTGACCCTGCCAGGACAAGGTAGTGGGGTCATGTGCCCAAGGCTGAGTCAAGGTTTCAAGATGAGAGCCCCAGAAGCTGAGGTTCAAATGTGCCTTCCCCTTGGCTCTGTCTGGGCCCTGCCCTGGTGTTCTGAGCCTCCCGCTCCTCTCTAGAACTGCTTCCTGGAATGTGCGTACCAGTATGACGATGACGGCTATCAGTCCTACTGCACTATCTGCTGCGGGGGGCGCGAGGTGCTCATGTGTGGGAACAACAACTGCTGCAGGTGAGGGTCCCCACCTGGATTGCACCTACACTCCCTCTTGGGCTTGTACCAAGACTCACTGCCTGTCCATGCCCTCCTCTGGCTTCAGGGCACTCTGCTCTGGACTGAGTTCTTCTACTCCGGGAAGCTCACCTTGGCCTCGCTGGACTGGGGCTAAGAGTCTCTTTTGCTGTTTTGGGCTTCCTTCCAGGTGCTTTTGCGTGGAGTGTGTGGATCTTTTGGTGGGGCCGGGGGCTGCCCAGGCGGCCATTAAGGAAGACCCCTGGAACTGCTACATGTGTGGGCACAAGGGCACCTATGGGCTGCTGCGGCGGCGGGATGACTGGCCCTCGCGGCTCCAGATGTTCTTCGCCAATAACCACGACCAGGAATTTGTGAGTCCTGGAGCCAAGGCTTGCACTTTTTTTACCTTCCATCAGGAAGGGCTGAGGGCAGAGTCTTGGGCTTGAGGCTTAGCACCTGAGAGCTTCAGTTGTTCACGGGGCCTGGGAGAGAAGGAATGGTTTCTGAGAGAAAAGCTCTCTCATTGGGATGCAGGGTTGTGCAGGTATAGAAACCTGAAGGTGCATGTCAGTGGGTGGGGAGCCAGCCCAGGGTGTGGCTCTGTAGAACACTCCTCGGTGCATTGACCTGGCCTGTTGTGTCACCATTTAGGACCCTCCGAAGGTTTACCCACCTGTCCCAGCTGAGAAGAGGAAGCCCATCCGAGTGCTGTCCTTGTTTGATGGAATTGCTACAGGTGAGAATGGTGCAGGCCCAGAGAGGCCCCAGCATCTTTATCCTATGCTGTGGTGTGGTAGCTCTGCCCTGGGGTAGTGATGAGGCGGGTATGTGTTTGACCCTGATAGGCAACAACAGTGAGCACTAAAACTCTTCAGTCATGGTGTAAAGAGGACATGTTTGTTTAAATGAGAAGGGACACCAGACGTGGCCAAAAACAAACAAAATGGAAACCAGCATGTGCAGTGGGCTCTTTCCTTATGAAGGAGATTCTACAGCAGAGGATAGAGGCAGTCGTTAGTCAGAGGTTAGTTGAAGAGTCTCACAAAGCCTCAGTGGGGGCCACCTCTGATAAACTCGGTGATCAGAACAAAAACATGTAGGTCTGTGGTGTGTTAATTATAGGTCACAGGTATTCATCATAAAGGAAACCATAAAAAAAAAGTCCAAGGAATAACATTTAAATTACCCATGGTCCCATATGGTGTCTATTTAATATTTTGGTGTCCTTTAGACTTCTTTCTGTGTGTGCATGTGTGTGTAAGATCATAACATATAGATAGATAAAAGGATGGTAAATGCTTATTGTTCTGTAATTTGTACTTTTATCTGTTACACTGTGACTACTTTCATATGTAGAATCTGCATAGGATTCTACTGAAAGTGCCATGTTTGTTTGTTTGTGTGTTAACTCCCTGAATGGTGAAAGCAGTTTGTGCTAGACTATAAGCCAAAAGGTAGTTCAGACTTACCCATGGGTATCTCAGAAGACAGGCTTCTGAAAGATTATAGCCCTGAAAACCTTACGGAGCAGTTCTACTCTGCGTATGTGGGGTTGCTGTAAGTCAGAATCGACTCAGTGGCAACTAACAGCAACAAACCCCCTTACTAAGTTGCGTGATTATTTTTTCATTAATATAAACAGTGCCGGAATGAACATCCTTATATGTGTATCTCTATATACTTAAACCACTCTCCTTAGGAAAAACCCTGAGATACTTGTTTTTCTTGTGGCTCTTGGCATTGCCAGAAGTCCTCCTAAACAGTTGTACTGACATATCTCTACTCTTCTGTCCTGCCTTACACTGAGGGCCCCCTGTTTTCTCACAGAGCTCCTAGTTCTTGAGAAGGGAAATCTTGCTTTCATCTCACCTGAGGGAGTCAGGCCATCAGAGCTTGGGATCCTTGGCCAAAGGGCAAGGGGTGGGGATGGCATATAAGGCCAGATGTTTGTCTATTCTCAGCTCAGTGCTGTCATGTGATAGAAACTTACAGAGGTAAATTTATAGTTTTGGTTTCCCAGACTAGAAGCTTGAAGCCTTCTTTCTTAAATCATGTTGCCTCCCAAGAGGCTGTGAAAGCTCCTTGATGGGGAGGCCTGTTGGGAGCATAGAAATGGTACCAGTGTACCCTGATCATCTGAGGCTCTCAGGGTGTGTTCTAATGGTTTTCTCACCTCAATTAAATAAGCATTTATGGAGGGGTCTGGTAAGTAAGTCAGTGTGGTTGCTTAGGAGGAAATGCAATGAATGTAACCTACTCTGTTGTGAAGAGCATTTGCAACCCAAGAGAAAGGTTAAATTGTGGATGTAAGCAGCTCTAAGGAAGTGGAGAAAGAGGAGAAAGATCCACAGTGCTGTGGGCTTAGGGAGATGCTGTTCCAGGATGTTGGGGGTGGAGCACTGAGGGAAGCTTTAGGGCAGGTGGCATTTTTGTTGAGTCTCAAAGGAACAAGGTCACAGCGGCAAGAGGTGATATGTGGGGAGGACAAGAACCAGTCTGTGCAAGATACAGAAACAGCAAAGGCCAACAAAAAAAGTCAACTTCTCTTCTCCTTGGATCCTGAAACCACCTACTGACTGGCTAGTCTTTCCTGGCCTTGACCACCTTCCAAGTAGACCAAACTGGTTATGAAACAGAGCCTCTGTGTGTATTAATAGTCCCATCTGAGGGAGCTGACTAGGCAGGATGGGGTGTGGGCCTGCAGTGAACCCCAAGTGTCCAGCTGGCTCAAGGGCTATACCAAGACCATGGTGCCAGGAGATAGATGACCCTGAGTAACAGCGCTCTCTGCTGGCTGGCATAGGGCTTCTGGTGCTGAAGGACTTGGGCATCCAGGTGGACCGCTACATTGCCTCGGAGGTGTGTGAGGACTCCATCACGGTGGGCATGGTACGGCACCAGGGGAAGATCATGTACGTCGGCGATGTCCGCAGCGTCACCCAGAAGCATGTATGTCAGTGCCGTGGGATCCGTCCCACCTCCTTTCCCCTGGCACCCAGCTCTTGGACACAGCACCAGCCCCCTTTTCATTTGCTCATTTACTACTTTCCATTCCACCCTTTTCCCCTTTTCTTCCTCCTGACCTTCCATTTCTGTCTCGAGAGTAATAAGCAGATTAAAAATAGAAATCGGGGAGCTTGCCTTTTTGAGCTCCAACTGCTCCCAGGGCTCGTGGCAGGGCCTCTTCCAATGGAGTGTTTTGGATTGGAGAGAGGTTCTCGTCTAACTTTTGGGAAATTGCTTCACCCTCCTCCATTTCTGGAGGCTCTGGCAGGGTCTTGCCTAAATGTGATGTGACTCTTTGCCCTTCCAGTTATCTCTGTCTGCCCATGAAACTACAAGGCCTCTGGAATTCTGAGGGACATTTTGAGGGTATTCAGATGGCCTAGACACATTCCTGCCTGCCTTACATACTCAGAGCACAAGGTGCCTTGGGATTCACCTGTCCACCTGGACCACCTTCCCACTGAGTGGCTATTGGTCCTGCTTTGTAGCACACTGGATTCTCTCCTGGTTTCAGAGAGAGATCCAGTTCAGTCTGTTCCCTTTATAGCTTAGGAAGTAGCCCAAAGAGCCTCAATGACTTGCCTATGGCTGCACACTTAGGGGAGAGTGAGCATACTGAGCAGCCAGGTCTCCTCACTGTGTACTTCTTGCCACATTCACAGATCATTCACAGATAATTTCTCTCTTCCTTTCTGCCTCTGTCCCTGGACAGCAGGCCCATCACATTACCTTTATCCTCCCAGATCCAGGAGTGGGGCCCATTCGATCTGGTGATTGGGGGCAGTCCCTGCAATGACCTCTCCATCGTCAACCCTGCCCGCAAGGGACTCTACGGTAGGTGCTGTCATCACCCCCTCCACCTTCTGAGCTAGTGCTTCCGCACTTAGTTTCCTACTTGGGTATTTCTGCCCTGGGACAGCTACTCCTGATGGCCCTGTCTTCCCTCACCCTGCCCAAGCCCGAGCCACACTACTGTCTATGCAGACAGCCCCAGCTGATGGCTTTCTCTTCCAACCTCTCAGAGGGCACTGGCCGGCTCTTCTTTGAGTTCTACCGCCTCCTGCATGATGCGCGGCCCAAGGAGGGAGATGACCGCCCCTTCTTCTGGCTCTTTGAGAATGTGGTGGCCATGGGCGTTAGTGACAAGAGGGACATCTCGCGATTTCTCGAGGTATAGCCAGCACCCTTGGTTTGGCCAGCTCACTAATGGCTTCTACCGTGGACTGCTGCTTTATTCCTATCTCATCTGCATTGTGGAGCTGGGGACTGGGGACTTCTGCTTTGCAAGGGGCCCCTTTGGGAAGCTAAGGGCTTCCCCAAAAGAAGGGAGGAAGCAGGGTTACAGGCCCACCCCAAAAAGAGCCAGTGGTCTTGCTCTGTGAGGTATAGGTGTGCACGTGACCTTAGAGGTGGAAGGACCTGACTTACTAATGGTCAGGATGGATGCCAGACTCCTGTGTTACATTACACTGGGGGGATGTTGAGATGCCAGAACAAGAAGGGCCAGGAAAAGTAGTCCGCCGCACCCGCACTCCCTAGTCCTTACTCCCTGTACCGTCATGAGGCTTTATAAAGCCTGAGGCAGCAGTTTGACTTATCTTAGCTTTTATTCCCATGATGTGGGTCCCAGCTCAGGTTTGAGCCAGTGCACTCAGGATTTCTGCTGCTGGAGGCTTTCTTGGGTGGGCAGTCTGGGAGCTTAAACCCATGCTCCGGAGTCTTGGGGTCAGTGATGCCTCATGCTGGTGGTGTTGACTTTAAATGTGAGCAGGTATCTGTTTGGCTCATATTGTAGGCATTTGGTGAAGACATCCATACTCATTGGAGCTTTCTTTTTCAAAGCTTCTGGGTAGCCTAGAGCTGTGTGGTCCATTATGATAGTCATTAGCCATATGTGGGTAAATTAAAAATTCAGTTCCTTGTCTCCATAGCTACATTTCAAATACTCAATAGCCATATGTGGGCCGATGGCTACTGTATTAAGCAGGGCAGACACAGAGCATTTTCATCATCACAGAAGGTTCAGTTGGTCTGAAGTGTCTCGTTGGCACACATGGAGTATGGCCAGGCTGAATTCTGGCTTTCCTTCACGGGTTCAGGTTATCCCAGTGTGTGGTCTCCTGAGAGAAGCAAGAGCTTTTGAGGCTCTAAGGCTCTAAGCCAGCAAAATTGCCTGGCATTATTTAATATTCCTCCTTCTTCTCTCATCTTTACTCTATCTCCTGTTTTATAGTCCAACCCTGTGATGATTGATGCCAAAGAAGTGTCAGCTGCACACAGGGCCCGCTATTTCTGGGGTAATCTTCCCGGTATGAACAGGTTGGTGAGAGCTCCTGGGCCTTGGGGTGGCTGTGGGTTGGTGTCTACAGGTGGGACCAAGGCAGGATGGCCCAAAGAGTTGGGGGATCACTGAATGGGCCCTCTTGGGCCAGCCTCCCTGTGGAATGACTTGCTGCTCTGTCATTTTCTTCTCTAGTTCTTTATACTCACCTCAGAATGCAACAATTAGTGGACAAAATAAGATACTCTTTACACAAAACAAGAATGGTATGCTGCTTAGTTATGGAATTGGTTTTCCTATGTTGGCAATGGATCCAGTGTCTTTTCTCAGCTGGCCCTTAGAGTTCTCTGAGAATAAAGCCTTAGAGGATGGGGCTGAGGATGAGAAAGGGATTAGTGCCCACAGTTTGGTCATACCCTGCGCTAGGAGAGGGCATCTTGAAACCACACCAAGTAAGTCGGAGGGTTCTGCTTAGTTTATTAACTACACACTCTGTTGGCTCCAGGTCCTTTGTTGGAAGGATTTTCTTCATTTAGCTTGCACAGATAAGGATTCTAATACCCAGGAATGAAAGGACATACTTGTCAGCTTTATTTCTTTAATAATTGCATTATAAAAAAAACCTATTTAGAGAAAGGAGTTCTGGTTGAAAGTTTGCAGTTCAGAAGCAGAGTGAGATGCCCCTAATCTAGATACCCATAGTGGAGAAATAATTTCCAGAATGTTTTTGAATCATAGATTTGGAACCTTCAAGGTGCAGCTGTAAATTGAAGGCATTGTTCTGGCCTCAGTCATATAATTTTCCTCTTTGCCGTTAAAGTGAGGTTACAGGAATTCAGTAGTCTTGAACCCATTTGGCAAAGCTGTTGTGCTTTGCCAGGGTTTGTTGATGGGAAAAAGATGGGTCAGTGACGTAGTTGACTCAAAATGGTCTCCATGCCCCATAAAAGCCTGCAAAGTATGTGAAAATAAGAAAACCGGGCTGGCTTGTATGGTCCAGGGTTTTCATGGAGCAGCTCACTCACTCAGTGTCTCTTATCAGACTCTGTCCTGTGGGATGGTTCTCACCTGTTTCTTCCAACTCTAAGGTTCTAGAACTCTGAGGTTCCAGGAGGAGCAAAGGTACCACTCAGGACCCAGCAGAGTGTGTGTGTGCAGAGTCAGGAGTGGGGAGACCTGGAGGCACAGATCCCAGTATTGTCCAAGCTGAGATAGTTGAGCCCTTTGTAAGCCTTCACCAAATTTTGGTTTTTATACTGTGTTTTCAGTGAAAGTTTACATAGCAGTTGAGGTTCCCATTCAACAATCTCTATACAAATTGTTCAGTGGTAATTGGTTGCAGTCTTCACAATGCATGAATAGTCTCATTATTTCCATTCTGGTGGTTCTGTTTCCATTAGTTTCATTTCCCTGAACCCTTAGATTCTCATCTTTGTTTTAAAGTAATTATTGACCATTTGGTCTCACAGGTAATTTTTTAAAAGAACACAATCCTTGCAGGTGATACTTACTATTTTGTGGGCCATCCTGCAATTTAGCTACAAGATGATCTCAGGGATTAGTTTGGTTCAAGATTTAAAGGTTATCTCAGGGCAGTATTCTCAGGGAGTCCTCTAGTCTCAACCAGTCTAGTAAGTCTGTTTTTTTTCCCAAAGAAATTTGAGGTTTTATTACACATTTTTCTCCCGTTCTGTTAGCGTCTATCTGTTATGCCCTTGATTAGGATGGTGGATAGTAGGGCACCTAGTTCTTCTGGTCTCAGGATAGGTCAGGCTGTGGTTTGTGTAAACTGTAGGCCAGTTTCTTCTTGGAGGCTTTGGCTTCCTTCTTTCTCTTTTGCTTGAGACGAGTCAAGACTAATAGTTTTATTTTGGATGGCCACTCCCAAGCTTTTAAGACTCCAGGCACCACTCAGCAAACTAGAATGTAGACATAACTTTATAAACTATGTTATGCCAACTGACTGATACGTTCTATAAGACTATGATCCTAATCTTGTAAACCCAGGGAACTAATCCTGTGAGGTGTTTGGTTATGTTGAATAAGTATCCATAACTATGCCCCTATGTGCTTTGTAATATACAAGAATGTACATGCATACTGTTACCACACATGCAAGTACATACACATACATTTATATATGTACACATATATACACACATGTGCCTACATATATACCCGTACATATATTTTTTGGTTGTCATTGCTATTTCACCAAGTGTTTTTAAATATCAGAAAAGATTAGTGCTTGCTAAAAGGGCAAGGAGGCCACATGTTCTGACCTCCTCTAATCCTACAAGAGGAAGACAGGATTATCAGCAGTAACCCAAGGCCTATTCCTACGAGGCCGGACATGCTGCCTCCCTCCAGCCCTTTCACCAACCGTTCCATCCAAAGTACCCACCACCTATCTCCTGGGTTCGATAATTCCCTGCAGTGGCCACACAGAACTTACAGATTATGGGGTTTATTAGGGAAGCACCACAGGCTACAATTCTAGTTCAGGAAAAATGCTCAGTCTCTCTCCCAGCCCACCGTCCCTCAGCCAAGAGTCTCTCACAGTCTCTTTCCCAGCAGGGCTGGTCCCTCGGTGTCTCACTCAGCAATGCGTGTCTCTTGCGTCTCTTTCCCAGCAACGCATGTCTCAGGAGCCCGTGTCTCTTTCAGCAGCATGTCTTCCTCAACCAGCAGTCAGAGTTCTACCTCTAGGAGGCCTCCTTTTGAGCCCGGCAGGGTGGTCAAACTAGCCAATCATAGCATCAGAACTCTAAGCACCTGAGAGAGAGTGGGCATCTCCCAGAACATTATTTTGTGCCACACCCAACAGAAATACTCCAGGTGGACAACTTCAGTAATCAGGAGCTCCTCAGTTACTCATAGAAAATCCCACGTTGGAGTTTACAAAGACTTACGGGTAGAAAAGCCACACTAAGTAATTTACTATACTGCAGTGCTGAAGGTGATGTTTGGGTATCTGGTACTCCCTCTGAGGAAAAGTGATGTTTTCAAATCCCACAGTGACTGTAGAATTTAAGTCTTCTGATTTTCTTTCCAGTTCATCTTCCATGACAACATCTAGACTTGTGATTAAAACCAGCCCATGCCCACTTGGCTGTGTTTGGTTTTATGGGGCTCATTTTATTCAGGAGGAGTCTTTTTTTTCTGTGGACCTGGAGGCTGATGATAATCCATCAGCTACCATGGGTTCCAGAAAGATGTCAGGGCCTTCTGTGTGCCTGGCATTCCTGCTGGGAACACAAGAGCTTAGAGCGTATGAAAAGAGACTATGAACAAGTCAATGTCATGAGCACTCAGAAAATAAAACAGGGCCAGGGGATGGGGATAGGTAGTCGAGGAGGGCCTAGAATTTGAATATTTGTGGAGAAGAGTGTTTCGGGTAGATTTCCCTCCATAACACCATGTTCTGTTTTGTAGTCAGCATCTTTTATCCTACTGTTTAATTTTCTTGCCAAGACCTAGTTTAGGATCCCATAGCATTCTTATTATTTGCATTTTTCCTCTTTTCCTACTTGAGTTCCTTTTCTATACTAATGCTGTCTGTCACAATCCACCTGTATCTCTCTCTTGCTCAAGGAAGTGGGCTATCTCCTGCTTTTCTAGTCACGTGCTCCTTCAGCACACCCACATGTGTACGTGTATGTATGTAGACGTGTACATGAGCGGGCACACACCCTCCGTGTAGCCGTTTGGATCTGGTCCATTCCCTCTCATTCTTGCTCTGCAGTGAGGGTCATGGCTGAGGCTGCTCTTCTGCAGAGTTCTAACCCTCACCCTGACCTATCTTTCAGATTCTACCCATCCTCTGGGTCCATTGGGAGTCTGTTTCCCCCATTGCCAGGGTCTGTCCCTTCCCTCCCCAGTCAGTTTTTTGCTCTATTTGTATTCATTACTTCAGCCTTCATTTTTGTCCAGAGTGGAGTTGGGGTATCCTTCAAGGCCAGGGACAGGGGCTGTATCTTTACCTCTGTGTCCTTTACATGAGCGGATGTGGTAAGAGATCCCACTGTCTGTAGCCTGGAAGTGAAGAAAGCTGGGATGACCTGTTCCCTTTGTGGCCTGGACCATTCAGACCTAGTGACTGGGCAAGTGGTGATCCAGAGATCTGGTGGCCATGTATGACCTTGTCCCTTCTGTGCATGAGCTAATAATCCAACTACTGCAGTAGCGTATGCAACAGTGAGGACCTGTGTGCCAGGACCTCTTTAAAATTGAGCATGTAAAAGTTTTTAGGAGAAAGTTGTGTGTTTTTTAAAAATCCATTTAGCCTGCCTTTGTCTTTTACTTATGTTTTGACATACTTTTTAAAATCACCTTTATTGAGGTATAATTTAAAGTGTACAGTTTGATGAATTTTATCAAATGTACACATCTGTGAAATCACAACCAAGATACAGAGTATTTCTGTCACCCTAAAAGCTTACTTTGTGGTGCGTACTTTTAAATCCAGTATGTTTTAAAATAACTGATACAAAAATAATTGCTTCCTATTCTCCCTCCCATCCCCCTTTCTGGACAGGTGGCAACTTTTAGTTTGGGACCACTTTTTTTTTTAAGATGAAAAAGCAAAACTTTTTCTTACAGCCTTGAATAAGAAGAGACTGCCATGCAGGGTTACACAGGGGGTTGCACCTGGGAACAGGGTGACAACAAGCTGGGACTATAAGGACTGTAAGAGGCAATTCATATGGCAAGTAGGAGCACTGCTGGCACCGTGGTTAAGTGCTCAGCTGCTAACTGAAAGGTCAGTGGTTCAAACCAACCAGCCACTCTGCGGGAGAAAGATGTGGTAGTCAGCTTCCATAAAGATTAGAGCATAGAAAATCCTATGGAGCAGTTCTGCTCTACAGCCCTGTCCTACAGGGTTGCTCTGAATTGGAATCAACTCTGCACTGGGAGGGTCAGGTTAGCCAGCTTTCACGGGCTCCCTGGGGGTTGTGTAGTTTGAATAATTCGGCAGGCCCAAAGAGGAACGGGCTATCCTTGGGGGTTAGGCATTTGGGGTCTCTTAGGTATGTGCACTGTACCCCAGGAGTGTGTCAGAATCTAATAAAGGAAGTAGTAGGAGTGTGGGCTTAGCAAACTGCTCATGAAGGAAAATTCAGTATTTATCCATGATCTCAAAACTGGGTCAAGATAGTGCTTGTGACATACATTACAGATAAGGTTGGGACCGCTTTTGCATTTCCCTTTAAAGATTAGTGCTTGGTGGATTTGTGTCTTTGGGGGCTACAGTATGATTTCGTGTGTTTGTGGAGTTTGAAAGGGACTACGTGTGAAAGAAGCCCTAGTGGCACAATCATAAAGCGCTTGGTTGCTGACCAGAAAGTCAGTGGTTTGAACCCACCAGCCATTCCACGGAAGAAAAGACTGGTGATCTGTTCCCGTAAAGTTTACCGCCTAGGCAACCCTACGGGGAAGTTCTGTACTGTCATGATATAGGGCACTCTGACTTGGAATTGACTCAGTGACACACAACACCATACGTGGGTGATAACAGGAGCAGGGTCTCTCTTACCTACTTGTATGGGCCAGATCGTTGCGTGTGTCTGCTGTCCACTGGGTTTCTGTTGTTACATTCTCTCTTCTGCCTCCTAGGCCGTTGGCATCCACTATGAATGATAAGCTGGAGCTGCAGGAGTGTCTGGAGCATGGCAGAATAGCCAAGGTTAGCCCCAGGGCCTGAGCTCTTCCCCTGGGCAGGGTGGGTAGGGATAAAGCACGAGGGCAGGATGTTCTGGAGCAGAGACCAGGGCTGTCTCATTTGCCCCTTAAGAGGCCTGTGGGTACAGTTCATGTGGAGAATGCAGTATAGCGGATAGTACAGGGTCATGCAACCAGCCAGCCCTGGAGGGACAGGGTGAGAAGTCAGTGCTGATCTTCAGCCTTGCTCACCATCCCGTTGGAGGGAGATTTTTTCTTTATTCAGTTTTCTACCTGGGATCTATTGCAAAAGCCTCCAGAGCAGAACAGACCCCTGTGGTGTGGATGTTGTATTTCTTTACAGAGAAATCTCACTGAGCAAGTGCACAAGGCATTCGGTTCCATGTCAGCAGGTTCTAGCATTCAGGACTGCTGGTACCCCAGAGGGCAGCCCTTTGCCACCACATTACTGTAGCTATGAAACAAGTTACTACAGCTGTGAAAGAAGCGGTTCTTTGGGAGACTTAGGAAGTAGAGTGAATAGAGCTAGCTCTCAAGTCCTTGACTAGCTGGATGAAACCTAAGGATTGCCAGGTGACCTCAAAGTAGGAAGGAGAGAGCAGGCCATGGTGTCTAGCCAAGACCAGTGAACCCACCTCACCCAGAGCCTTTTCCCACCCCCCTGCTGGGCCAGACCTTGGTGGTGTTGGGCTCACCTGTCCCTGATGAGGGCCTGGTGCACAGCAGGTGCATGACCTTGCTGCTAATTTGAATGAATGGCTGCTCATTCCTCTTTTCCTCTCTTCATCTTCCAGTTCAGCAAAGTAAGGACCATTACTACTAGGTCAAACTCCATAAAGCAGGGCAAAGACCAGCATTTCCCCGTCTTCATGAATGAGAAAGAGGACATCTTATGGTGCACTGAAATGGAAAGGTACCCCAGGCGGGTGTGTGGGCATCGTGGGTGTGGTGTGTCCTGACTGCTGTTCTGCAGAAAAGGTTCTCTGCCTCTCCGGGTCAGGCTTGTATTTTCCACAAGTGTCACAGGACCAGCGGGTATTACTGTGCGTTTCACAACATGACTGACTTCTGCGGAGGGTCTTGACCAGCCAGGCCCTCCTCCCTGTGCATTTTAAGGCTGATCCTGAAAATTAGAGGAATCTTGGAATCAGTCCATAATGCTTAGACTCCCTAGAAAGTCTGTTGAACTCCAGAGAAACATTGCAGCGCCAGGAGCTTGTGAACCTGTGTTGCTAATTTTGTAGGCATTTTGTAAACCAGAGTGTGTAGGACTGGGGGACACCTTGTAGCCACAGTCCGCTGACTTGATGCAAACGGGGCTTACAGGGCTAGATAACCTCCTTGTTCTCTGGGTATAACTAGGGATTAGCCAGACAAAGAGACCATTTATATAAACAACTAGAGCAAACAGGAAATCCTTGAACTTTTGAAGTCAGGCAAGAGTTTGGCCCCTTACAGAGTTTTCTCTTTTGTAAAGGAAGATACTAGCTGTGTATTTGTTGCATATAGACTTGAGAAGTCCATTGTGGACCCAAATCACATGCAGGTGGAATGATAGAGCATATGGGGTGGGGGAGAAGGGAGGGTATTTGTGAAATAAATTTTGTTTCTGCTAATGTTGTGAATCCTCCAGACAGTATTTACCCTTACTTACCTTTAAATCCAGAGACTAGCACAGTACTTGGCACAGAGTTGGTGATCTGTGTTGCATTAAGTATAAAGGACAGAAAATTTGGCAGAATTAAGGGGAGTACGTATGTGCGGGCACACTCAGGTGTCAGCATCGCCTTGGTCAGCTCCTGATCACATGGTCTTGGCCGGAATAGCATGTGGTCACATGGCCTCCTAGCGGCCTGGGCCTGGGCTGGCCGGCACTCACCCCGCCCTTTCTGCCCTGTCTTTTCTCCCCCAGGGTGTTTGGCTTCCCTGTCCATTATACTGATGTCTCCAACATGAGCCGCTTGGCAAGGCAGAGACTGCTGGGCCGGTCGTGGAGCGTGCCAGTCATCCGCCACCTCTTCGCTCCGCTGAAGGAGTATTTTGCTTGTGTGTAAGGGACATGAGGGCAAACTGAGGTAGTGACAAAAGCTAAACAACAACAACAACAAAAAAGACATGAAAAACACAAAACACCAAGAACATGAGGATGGAGAGAAGTATCAGCACCCAGAAGAGAAAAAGGAATTTAAAACAAAACCACAGATGCGGAAATTACTGGAGGGCTTTGCCTTGCAAAGAGGGTTGGCCATCATCTCCTGATTTTTCAATGTTAAACTTCAGTCCTATTTAAAAACAAAAACCAAGTCCCTTCCCCTCCCCCCTTTAATTTCTGGTCAAACCTTTTGTTTTCTATTCTTTCCAGAGGGGTTTTCTGTTTGTTTGGGTTTTTGTTTCTTGCTGTGACTGAAATGAGGGTTTATTGCAGCAAAAATCAGTAACAAAAAATAGTAACAATACCTTGCAGAGGAAAGATGGGAGAGAGGAAAAAAGGAAATTCTATAGAAATCTATATATTGTTTCCCCCCCACCCCCCGGTATATCTTTTTTTCTTTTTTGTTGTCTCTAGCCTAATCAGATAGGAGCACAAGCAGGGGACAGATAATAGAGAGAGACTCGGGCGGCACAATTCCCTCCTGGCCCCTGAGCCATCTTGCCAGCACCATTCCTGGTCATGCAAAACAGAACCCAGCTAGCAGCAGGGAAGACAAGACACCCACACAGACACTTTTCTACAGTATTTCAGGTGCCTACCACACAGGAAACCTTGAAGAAAATCAGTTTCTAGAAGCCGCTGTTACCTCTTGTTTACAGTTTATATATATATGATAGATATGAGATATATACATATATAAAAGGTACTGTTAACTACTGTAAAACCCGACTTCATAATGGTGCTTTAAAACAGCGAGATGAGTAAAAACATCAGCTTCCACGTTGCCTTATGCGCAAAGGGTTTTAACCAAGGATGGAGAAAGGGACAAAGCTGGAAGATGAGTAACAATCATTATGGGGTTTCCCCCTTTGGTTTCCAAAAAAGTGAAGGAGGAGAAACTGGGAACCATGTTCCCATTTCTCGCTGCCAAAAGGGGGTGAGGTGAGGTGTGGCTGGGACCGTGGGAAGCTGAGAGTGGAATTCATCCAGACTCACGCAATAACCTTTCGATTTTTGTTCTAAAAGGAGACTCCCTTGGGAAAATGACAGGGGAGGGGTCTTCAGTCTCAGTTTCTCACTTTAGCTGATGCGAGGGCTCCTTGTGGTGGGATCAGAAACCATCCAGAGTGTGGGAAAGTGACAGTTAAAACCCCGCCTGGAGCAAATAAAAAAACATACAAAACGTACTGGTGCTTTCCTGTCTAAGTCGCCTTTTGTGTGTTCTTTTATGAGGCCCCCCACCATCCACCCCTCTGTGCACAAGGCGGGCCTGGCCCCTGGAATGTGATGTTTTTGGTCATCTCCAAAAGGCTGCAGTTTTATACTGGGAGGCTGATGACACATTTTATTATAATTATTCTTAAGGTTCTGTTATAATTATGTTTAAGATTTTCTTTAAGAAAACAAAAACCCAACACCCCTCCTATTAGGTTTCAAACCAAGGTGCAGGGGGAGCAGGGTGCTTTTTAAGTGGTGGCTCTGGTGCCCTGGCTCCCCACCCCTTGGGCCAGGAGGGCCACCGGGCACAGTGACAGCGGGCATCCTGAGAGTCCGCTCCGGGTCAGCCCCTCTTCTCTTCTGCTTTCCCTCCTCTGAGTCAGGTGTGTCAGGGCTGGAGGGAGGACCCAACAGGCTCTCTCCTTGTGTGTGTGATTGGAGTGGTGTGTTATTTCTTTTCTAGTACTTGGTCTGATGATAGCTGTGCTCTCACCTCGAGCCAGCAGCACCTGGAGCCCCAGCTGCACGACACTTGGTCCCACTTCCCACGGAGGCTGGCCACCTGGCATTGGCAGTAGGAAGGGACAGCACTTGGTGGCTCCAGGGTGAGGGCCCGACGGGCAGATGTTTGCCTGGACCGATGGGGTGTAGATATGTGGCATATAGAGATATATATTTTATAATGGGAGGGGGGATGGCACCTCCTGGGACTGGCAGAGATGGGGGGGTGTGCTGCCAAGCACATAGTCCCATGTTCTCATCCCTAGAAAGATAGGGCCTACAGTGATAGGCACTATATAAATACATAGATAGGGTCATGTATAAGAAATATTATGGAGTGGGGCATGGGGGTGGGGGCTCAGTGTGCTGAGGCCCAGTCCCCACTGCAGACAGAAGCCCCACACTGGTCAGTCTCACAGAGACAACAGGAACGTATTTTTCCACAGATGCATAGAGTGCACTCGCACACACGCCAGGATCTCCCAGTGCTCTCTCCCCAGGATTCAGGACTTTGTGGAGTCAGCCCGTGCAGCTATTTACCTCTGTTGCCCTGATTGCAGGCAGACTGTCAATCCCAGAAGTTGCTAGGTGCTGAAGGCGGGAAAAAGGAGGAGGTTTTATTTTAGCAGGTGCTCTCCTCTAGCAGGTAGTGTTCTATCTCTTTTGCCCCTGGTGATGTCAAAAGATTCTTCTGTTAGCAACCTGTGATACTGACCTGCAACTCTAGGCACCAGTAAAGTCAGCCCTCAACTCCCCCTACCTATTCTCCCCCAACTAAAACCAAATTGACATCTGGGTCTGCCTTGGCCAGAGGACTTCCTTTGGGAAAAAAATGGGACAGGGAACCTCATCTTTTGACTAAAACAAATTAGGAATTAGTGACAAAGTGAAACCGAGGCTTTGCATCCCTTGCTCATTGCTCAGGAGAGCTCCCAGCTGGTGACCCATCTCCTGCACCTGTTTGGGGTGCTCAGTCCTGGACTCTGGGCTACTTGATTCCTTGTAAGGTTGGCTTTTAAGATCACATTTCCTCAGTTGCTTCCTGCCACTTCCATGACTTTATGACAGGGGGTGACCTTAGCCCTTCCTTGTTGGAGTCTGTGTACCTAACTGTGGTGCTCTCTCTGTCCCCTCCTTCCTCTTGCCAGGCTCCATTCTTCCTGGCCTGGGGTCTACCAGCACCACTCTAGGAGGGCTGGGGGGGAGGAGGGCTGCCTCAGGCAGTCCAAGGTGCTCCCTCCTCCCTTAGCCAACACTAAGGTCTTCCCGCTCCCAGTGTTAGGACAGTGTCTGTTCATGGCTTCCTCTGCTTTGGGTGCTGCTCCCAGGCCTTTTGTCTACTGCTTATGGGAAGGAGTTAGCTTTTCTTGTGGTCAAAGCTCTACTTTAGCTGGGCCTGATGCTCCACCCAAGAAGTTGGTTTAAGGAGTCAGAAGAAAATGGGTAGCCACGAATGTGGCAAGCCTAAGGGAGTTCTTTCTGGCGGAGAGGAGAAATAATTATGCCTGCGTTGGGGCCAGGCTGTTGGACCAGTCAGCTTGCTCAGAAAAGTGCTGGGGTCAGAGGAAGCCTTGTAACTGGCTACTTGAGGAATAGTTGTTCTCAGTCTAGTAACCTGATGGGCCCAGAATGGGCTTGATGACCCATGGGGCCACCTTGCAGAGATTAGAGTTAACAATCACCAGCTTTTCTTCATTCCCAACCACAATGGGCTTGTCTCACGATAGAACTTGGCAAAGGGACCTTGCGCAAGTGCCAATTTGACCAAGCTGGGACACTCTTTAACAATTCATCTCCAACTGTGAGGGCACTTCTAGGGACAGGTATTGGGTCACCTTCCAAAGGAACTATGACTGGCTGAGGCAGGGTCATGCAAGGATTAAAGTGGAAAATCATTACTCTATGGATGAGTTGATGGCAGAGGCAGTGCAATGGGAGAAACTAAGAAGGCCTAGGGCAGATTCTAGAGTTGATTCTCAGTGGGAGTTTTCCAAGGAGCAGGTCCGTTGACCCTGTGGAAATGAGAAAGGCGGGCTTCCTATCACAGTTGCCAAGTGGAGCATAGTGCCAAAGAGATCTGTGGCTCTTGCATGGGGGGCAGTAGTCAGGTGCTAGTGCTGGGGTCACAGAACCCTTAGTCTCTTACATGAAGCTACTTTCCAACAGGTAGCTGTTGAGCCTCCATGGGCCTCCAGTTAGCTGGTGCTTATCCCTTTCCCTGTGGGACTGATTTGTCAGTGGCCAGGCAGCCTGGCAAACAGTAGGCCAGGGACTAGCAGGTGGGAAGCAGCAGAAAGCTTTGCAATCAGCAGATGAAATATGAGTGTTTTGCTATCCTTTGTTGCCCAGACGCAAGAACAATTGGCTTGCTTTTTAGCATCCTCCTAGAAAGCAAACTTTGCAAAAGGGCTTCCAGGATCTCTTAGCTTTTGAAACAGGCCTGGAAGTGGTTTGCCGATGGAGGTACCCACGTGATTTTTGGTGAATTGCTAGGGTATGAGTTGGAACAGGCAGACGGGCAGGAAGAAAGGCTGTTTGAACTTGATTGGGTCCAAGGAGGGTGGGCTTCCATCACCTCCCACTTAGCTGGCCACCAGGCTGTGCAACTCCAGAGAAACCTTGAGGTTTGGAAGAGCTCTAACAGGATCAAGGGAAGGATTATTTCAGCTGAGCCATTTGGAAAATGCTCTTAGAGGAAGACTGCAATCTTTCATGGCTGTGTTTTTGATTAGAGAAGTATATGAGGTAGATTTCAGAGGCAGTTTTGGATTTCTGCCACTGGTCTGCTTGGGGTGGCATTGCTGTGGCATTAGTGTCTTTGAGAGCTCTCATCTTCAGCAGACTGGTGGGAGCCCCTTTGAGCTGTGGTGTGGGTTAGCACCATGGGACCTGCCTGCACAGTGGCGTGAAAGGCGCTGGTAGTTTTCATTGGTTGGGAGAACATCAGAGCCAAGATTCTGATGAAAACTGGATTTCTTGCTAGGCCCACATTTTGCTCCTGGGAAATGAGTAATATGAATTTGTCATCAAGCATTCTCTAGTGTGGTTGCTCATGGTGCTTGTGACACAGGGTGATGCTGGTGTTGTCTTTAGGGAGGCCTGCCTACCTGGCAGTAAGCAACTGATGCCTTCTCCCACCACAGGATGGAGGTGTGAGGGAGGGTTGGTCTTCAGCTAGACTTGCTTTTCTGGCCATTCTTAGATGAGTCTGTGGAATAACCACAAGTGTAGCTGCCTCCTCACCTGCCTTGTACTGGGGATCAGGAGGATCTGGGAGGAATGAGCATAAAATAACTCAAAGGGTGAACTCCACTGTTGTAGCAGAAGCATTGGAATCTTTACATTTTGGAAAAGGAAGGCTGGGGTCTTTGAGAAGAACAGTTGGTCCTCCCTGCACCTGTGTTTCAGAGACCTGGCAAAGGCAGTCCTTTGGTTGGTGACCTCTTGCTTGTGTCTGCCCCTAGGCAGTGGAGTGTTTGGGGAGGGAGAAACAAGCAGGTCCAGAGCAGTGGGGGCAAGGTCGGAAGGTCCCTTGGCCAAAGGCAACTTGTTATCGTACCCAAAATGAAGGCCATGGACTCTGGTAGCTCTGGTAACTGGAAACCCCCCAGATGTGTTACGCTGAAGAAGTGTGGGCGGGAGCTTCATCACACGCCAGCCGTGCCTGAGGAGATGAGCAGGGAATCTAAAGCATCCCCTTAGTCCCGTTTTACTTCACAGACTGATTTGGTTGCACAGCCCTAGAATTCAACAACCCAATCACAACAAAAATGCCGAAATTCCTTAGAATACGCAGAGGGAGGAGGTGACTCAACAAGGTGCTAAAAACATTTTATTAAAAATATATATTGTTAAATTAAGTCTGCTGTCTGGACAATGACTGTTTGTTTTGTTTTCTTGTAGTGGAGTTTAAAAGAGACTATTATTTTACTCTGATATATTATTATTAAAAAGGCATTTTAACTTTGTACTTGAAAACTAAATGAGCGATTTCATGTGTTTTAGCTGAGGCATTGAAGTAGCGGGTGCTTACTGATTTGTGGGAAATCATGTATTCATACTGAAGAATAAACTCCGTAGCTGATTTGGTAATAACTTTTCCTGTTACAGACGATTTCGCTTTGACCCCGGCGGCAGAGCACTTTCACTCCACATTCCACGCAGCTAAATGCAGGACTTACTCCCCAGACTCCTCCTGCCCCTGCCCTCTTCCTTTCTCTTGAGTTCCTCTTTTCTCCTCTCCCCGCCCCACCCCCTGGTTCCAGCATCCTTTCACCACTATATATTTTTTTAGGGTTGCTTCTCTATTTATTGACAATAATAATGTACATTTCACAGTCTGGTTCTGGGACATCTAGGGTGGGGTGTGTGTGCGAGGGCCCCGAGTGGCCCCCCCCCCAGGCCTCCCTGGTGTTCTGTTGTATCTCTGTGTAAGTGATGCTCGTGACATAGCTGTTTATGAAATAATTAAAGAGGTCAATGC